CCTCCACCACCACCACCACCACACACACACACACACACACACACACACACACACACACACACACACACACACACACACACACACACACACACACACTGATCACCACTCTCGACATTCACGCTCTACTTCACTTCCGATGCGCAGGCATGCTGGTTCTGGGTCATTGACAACTACATCATGAAGATTGAGACAACAGATGTAAGTGCGAGCGTACGAATGCATGCGTGTGTGTGTGATGCGCTATGCTTGATTGCTGGGTGCCTGATTCGTGTTCCCAGTCACTGTCACACGTCCAACTCGTTCACACAAACACACACACACACACTCACACACACACACATACACACACACACACACTCACACTCACACACACACACACATACACACACACACACAAACTCACTGCAAACCACTTGCACGCGCGTGTCTGCAGCGAGACGTCAGCCCCTTTGATTCCGTACACATGCGGGACTTAAAGGCGCACAACAGCGACGGGGAGGACGGGACATTGAGTGCAAACCACTCTGCACACTTGCTTGGACTCAGCGAGGCGCATGACGAGAGCGACCTGGTCATATTGGGTGATGACAATGACGACGACCACTCCGTTCACGCACGGCTCCTGCCCCACGCGTGACAGCTCTCCCTGACCGGCGTCCATTGCAGCATTTTCACGTCTTTGACTCGACCTGCTTTTTGTGCGTTTCCCTTGTGGCACACCTCCCATCCTTTTTCCCCCCTTTCCACGTTACAGCCGTCACGCCATCGTCACTGCAGTCCTTGCACCACCCAACGCCTGCACAGAAGTCACGTCTACACAATTGCGTTGACCGTGTGTGTCTCTGCCATTCCTTCTCGTTCCTCGCTCCCGTTGTTCTTTCACCAGCGAACACTCACTCTAGGCCAGCCACCACCTGCCCCATGCTCGCGTTCATGTTGTTGCAATTCGCACACACGCGCACTGGAAGCAGCTGGTTTCGTCATTGTTTGTAACAGTTCCTGCTGTTGCGTTTGTTCACGTGTCATTGATAAACAGCGACCCAACCAACCACATCATAACAAAAAACAGACAAAGTCTCAAAGAGTCAGACGAGTTACGATCCACACTTCCAAACCACAACCACCACCGCTGTGACAGCCACCAAATCTATTTTGCACCGGCAACGACACCACCACCCCCACGCCTCCGTTGCATGCGTGTGCGCAGCTTGTGCTTGACGACAGCGCGGTGCAAGCGGGTGATGGTTGCAACCTGCCGTCCAATCAGCCGCTCTGTGCCGTGCACCACGAACCGATACAGGTCCTGTTGCAACAGCACCGACATGGGCACGACCTCCAGCACCTCGTTGCTGCCCAACCCAGGATGCATCGCCTGCTGATCTTGTTGTTGCTGTTGTTGCTGTTGCTGTTGTTGTTGTTGTTGTTGTTGTTGTTGTTGTTGTTGTTGTTGCTCCTGCACTTGCTGTTGCTGTTGGTGCTTCTGCACTGGCTGTTGTTGCTCCTGCTCTTCTTGCGCTTGCTGCTCTTGACGTTGCGTGGTGCGTTCCTCTGGGTCGGTGTCTGGCTCGATAGTCGTCCCTGCATGGGTTGTGCGTGCCGCTGTCGCCACATGTGCAGCGAGAGGAAGCGAGGTGCCTAGGCTGTGCTCGCACAGCACAAACTTGGACGGCGAGTAGCCGGGCGACCCGAGCGTGGGCTTGATCACGCGGATGCGTTTGAAACTCCGATGCAGCAGGAACAAAATGCCGGCGCCGAGGCGAGACAGCGTGTCCGGGAGACACACGAGGGCGTGGTCGCCTTCGTGCATGCAAGCAAACATGACGGCGAGCTGTGGCAGCAAATTTGGCAGCACGTCCAGCTCCACTCGCCCTTTGCCGCTGCCCGCAAACAGCGCGGCGTCCACACGTGTCGACAAGCACCACAACACCGACGTGTCCCTCCCATACACGCTTGGTTGACCCGTGGGAGCGTGCCGTGACGGCAATGAAGCAGCCGCAGCGCCAGTGGCAGTGCTGGTGGCAGTGCTGGTGGCGTGATGACGTGCGGGGTTGCGATCATGTTCATAACGGCGGTGGGGGGACCGGTCACGGCTGCGATGGTGCTGGTGACGATAGCGACCATCACCATCATCATCATGACGATGACGATGATGGTGATGGTGGTCGGTCCGACGATCATCGTAGTCGCGTTCGCGGACACAGTCGTGAGGACGCCTTCCCCGACCGTCACCACCACCACAGACAGAGCCATCGTCGCGGTAGCCATCTCTGTCCCTGTCCCTGTCCCTTCCCCTATCTCTGCCTCTGTCTCTGTCGTTGCCTCTTTCCCTACTTCGACGCCCTTCTCTGTCTCGGTCTCTGCTCCAACTCCGACTTCTCCTGCGACGTCGGCGTCGATCAGTGCTGCGGCTTCCACTTGTGTCTCTGTTGCGGTCGCGACTACTGCTGCTGCGTCGGCGTCTTCGTCGTCGCTCTCGTTCGTGGCCTTGATCGCCTTCGTCTTCTCGTCGCCTCTCAATGCTCTTGCTTCTGCTCTTCTCGTGCCCTCTCCGGTCTGATCTGCCACGTCTCCTTGGGCTCCTGCTGTCATCATTCCGACTTGTCCTCTCGTCTCTACCGCCTCTGCTGCGAGACCTCGCACCCCTTCTCTCAACACTCCCATGTCTGCTTCTGCTTCTGCTTCTGCTTGTAGGTCGTTTTCGTCGTCCCCACTCGTCTGTTCCCTTCTGCACCTCTTCATATTCCTTCTCTTTCACACCACCACCGCCATCATCATCACCATCACCATTGCCGCCGCCACCACCACACTCTTCACCATGACGTGGACCAGTGTCAGTGCCAGCGCGCGTCGCTTCTTCGTCATCTCGTGAGCTGGTCTCCTCTGTTTTGTTTGCGGGTGTTTCTCCCGCCACTTTCTTCCCTGTGTCTGTGGTCGCGTTGCCTGCAGGCATTTTCTGACGAAACCTCTCCAGTGCAGCACTGAGGTGCTTGGCAATCACGTTATAGCCGCCAGCCGTGGGCTGCAATGGTGGTGTGTCCACAGAGAAAATCGGAAGAGATGGGCAGGGTTGCTGCAGAGCCACAGAAGATGAAGACGGCGACGACGATGATGCTGATGCTAATGCTGATGACACTGGCGGAGGGGCGGCGGTGGCGTGCGCAAGCTGTGCTGCTGCTGCTGCTGATGATGATGATGTTGATGTTGATGTTGATGTGGATGATGACGATGATTGTGACGGCATCAAAACAGTGGTCACATCAGCCGCAAGGCCAACAACTGGGACGCCTTGCTCGGCAAGGCACGTGCCACAACCCGCGAGCGCGCGCGTGTCGAGTGCAACGGCAGCACCAAACCGCCACTGCTTGTGGCGCTGACACAGCTGCTTCATGACCAAGTGACCCTCGGCATCCCACGGGCGTGTGGCTGGCGCCGTGTCTACGACTTGATTTGAGCTCGCTGACGATGCTGGTGATGTTGCTGTGGCTGCTGTCGTTGCTGTTGCTGCTGCTGCTGCTGTACTTGCTGATGTTGTTGTTGCTGTCGCAGCATGTGTAGCCTGTCGTGACCGCATGAGGCGAGCACGCACCTTCTCAAAAGGATCATGGGGTCCAAACAGAATCTCGCGCGCGGCGTTCAGCTTCACCCACATGTCTCGTGACACGCCCACTGCTGCCCACCTGTCACTGCTGCTGCTGCTGTTGCTGCTGCTGTTGCTGCTGTTGCCTCTGCTGTTTGTGTCACCTTCACCACCACCACCACCGCCAACAACAACACCTTCGCCATCATCACCACCGCGTAAGAGCGATGTGATGGTTGGCAGCATGCGCTGACGTGCGTCCATGAGTTGTGTGAGCAAGCGAGGCCGACAGAACCGGGAGAGCGTAATGGCTGGCACGCGGGATTTCACCGTCAGGGACCACTGTGACACTTCATCTTGCGTCACGGGCGCTGGGTTGCTGTCGTTGTAAAAATACTGGATGTTCCGCCCAGCATCATCCTCCTCTTCCTCTTCCTCTTCTTCTTCTTCTTCCTCCATGTCCGCGCTTTCACCGCATGTCGTGTTGGTTCGGTCCTCTGCTCCACCACGCTGCTGTTGCCCTTCTCTTGTTGCGCCATCACTACCGCGAGTAAACCCGAGCATGCCCTGCGTTCGAGGTTGCGTCTGCACCTGCTGTTCTTGTGTCTCGCCATTTCGCTCTTCTTGTCCTCTTTCCTTGTTGTCGTTCTTCGTCTCCATGTTCGATGTCGTGTCTTTTTCTCCTTCCTCCTCCTTGAATTTCCTTCCCCCTTCTGCTGCTTCTTGCTCGTGCGTTGGCTGTTGTGTTTTCCCTTTCGCCCAATACACCATGTCATATTTGCCCTCGCTCTTGCCGGTAGTTGTCGTGTGCACCGAGCCATCCTCCTCACCACCACTGCCGTGCTTCTTGCTGTTGTGGGTGGCAATGCTGGAGTTGGTGCTGGGGGTAACGGTGGTGGACGTGGTTTCCGACGAAGGGTTGGGTGTGGGCTTCACCGTACTGGTACAAATGCCATCACCATCGTCACCAGAACTGGTGGCTGGCGTGTGCGTATGGACGGAAAACTGGTCCAAATCATCATCATCCAACAGTACGGGCCGCACCTCTGCTGCACCGTCACCAAACCCATCCCCACCACCACCACCGCCACCACCATCACCATCAACAGCCCCCATTGTGGCACCAGCCATCAAGCCACTGCCATTACTGTCGTCGTCACCACCAATGGCAGCCTCAACCTCATCGTACACGCCGCGTGCACCCAGGCCGAGCTTTGCAGGGCGCAGCTGGATGGAAATTGGATCCACCCGCCCGCTCTCGTTCTTGCCAATGCCACGTCCCCTTCGGAAGCCAAACTTGCGGATCTGTGACACTGCGAATGAGCCGTATTTCGCCGCCTCCTGCGCCATCGCGCCAACGTCGGCTGTTGGTGGTGATGGTGATGTAGCTGCTGTCATCGTTGTTGCTGCTGACACTGTTGGTGTTGCTGCTGTTGTCGTTGTCGTGGTGGTTGCTGTGGTAGATTGTAGTTCCTCCACATCCTCGTGACGACGATCCATCTTGTTGGTGCCCGCCAGAGTAGTGTCAGTCGATGCGGTGGTGTGAGTGAGTCGAGAGCTCGCCTTTGTTTGGTCAAGTGTCGTCTGTGTTGCAACCCGACCTGTTGTTGTATCCGCTGACTGCGGCTGGAGTGGTGGCTGTGGTGATCGCGCTGTCGCAGTTGCTCCCGCTGCACTCGCATCTTCTTCAACGTGCGCTCGCTTTGTTGGCGGCTCACCATCACCACCACTACCATTGCCTACAGCATCTTGAACACCACCGTCATCATCACCACCACCACCACCGCCATCATCACCACCACCACCGGTCTTTACGTCACCCTTAGCTTCACCCATCACATCACCACCTTCACCGTGTTCGCTGCGGGTGGCAGCCTTGCGTCGTGCTGCGTGCCGCTTCGCCTCCTCCTGCCGCTCTCTCAGCGTTGCACCGGCCATCCCGCTGTTCACCTCGCTCGCAAACTCCTCAGACACGCGCGCAACCGTATTCAGGCGGTGGGGCAGGAGCGGGTCTGTTGGCACGATGCGTAGTTGTGGTGATGGCAGCGCATGCACGTTGAACCGCGAGATGAATGATTCTGCAATGCGGAACTGGGCCTGGATAATCGCCTGCAGTTGGAAACGGGGAAGGAGGCGCGGGAGGGACGAAGGGCGTGCAGAGTGGGTTGTGATGAGTGGATGATGGGCTAACGGGAAGGGGGGGGGGGTGAAAGCGTTTCGCAACAATCGCGCTTGCTGTTGGCGGTGACGGCCGACGGCAGCGAACAGAGCAGAAGCACAATGGTGCTCACAACATGTTACATTCGCTCACACAACAAAATGCACACACACATACACACACATACATGCAAACTTGCACACACACACACACGTACACGCACGCACACACACACACACACGCGCACACGCACACATACAAACACACACACACACACACCTGCTTGTGGTCGTATGCACAGCGCCGGTGGAGCTTCAGCACGTGCTCAATCTGTGAGCAAAACGCGTCAACGAAAAACTCGGCTGTTGTCCGCAATTTCGTCATGAAGGAGTCAGGCAGGACTGAAGAGGACAAGAGCGCCGCTGGCTGACCATCAATGGCTGTGCTCGACAAGGTGTGTAGTTGTGCGTAAGTACGTGTGTGTTTTGTGTGTGCGTAAGTGTGTGCGTGTGTGCGTGTGTGTGAGTGTGAGTATACTGAAACAATTGAAGGGTGATGCAAGCGCATCGTCATGCCTGACTTCATACGTCAAATCACACACACACACACACACACACACATCTGCGCAAATGCATAGCCATGCACACGATCACAGCCATCGCAGCAAGCGGTCCGAGCGCGTGCTTACTTGGCGGATCTGGCTGGACGAACGTCAACAGTCGCTCCTTCAACTCCGCGTCAATGCCACGAAAACCTGCAGCGCGGCGGTGAATGGAAGGAAAAGAGAGGACGAGAGAAGCAGTGTGCATGGAGGTGTGTTGTGGTTCAAGCACACAAAGAAGAGAGAGTATGAATGCTTGCATGCGTACGCACACATACGTCTGTGTATGCATGTGTGTGTTTGTGAATGACACGACTTGCAGCCGAAAACGCGCGTTGCAAAGAGGATGTTCCATCCACACATACGCACACACGCACACATGCACACACACACATATACACACCTTTTGCCACGAGGTAAGTCTCGCTGTTTGCTGCCTTGCTGGTGGCGGGCTTACAGATGTACGTCTCGTCAAAGTGGCAGCCGACAAGATAAATGAGCGCTGCTGTTGAGCGCTCGCACGCCGTGAACAACTTCAGCACAATGGCCCCGCCTACACGGGAGTTAATTCATGTGTTGTGTGTGTGTGTGTGTGTGTGTGTGTGTGTGTGTGTGTGTGTGTGTGTGTGTGTGTGTGTGTGTGTGTGTGCGTGCGTGTGTGTGTGGGGGGGGGTTGAGTTCACATGTTTGTGCGTGATGAATGCACGATGCCAACAGCTGCGCAACAGTGCCACGCCACTCACAATCACACGTCCACAAGAACAAGAGCTGCAGCCAAATCCACATGATCACACACATGTCAAGACCACAACGACACACACACACACATACATTTACACATGCACACACTCACAGGCACACACGCATACACACATTCACACATTCACACACATATTCACACAATCACACACACATTCACACATTCAAGCATGCTCGAACATGCCTGGCGAGAGGCAGCCAAGTCCGGCAACGGCCTCGCAGAAATGGAGATGCGACGTCAGTGCCTCCTGGTGGTGATTGCGGCGGTGGTGGTGATGATGATGATCATGATGATTGGTGGTGGTGATGATGGCGATGGTGCTGAATCATGACCGAACAAAAGGACGTTACGCCCACCCACCCACGCGCACGCAAACACGATGCACGACACACACACGCACACACACACACACAGCACACAGCACATCATCGTATTCCCCTACCTGCTCGCCAGGGTTGGCGGAAACATCAAACGCGCCGTCAGCAGTGAACAGATCCACAGGTCCATGTTTTGAAACGCGGTCCCACAGGCACTGGACGTTTTGTCCACGCGTGATGTCCCCCGTGTCGTCCGCCCCAAAACACCAATTGTTCAGCGTATGCAGGATGAACTGTGAACACGCAGTGCGTGCGTTTGTGCATGTGTGTGTGTGTGTTTGTGCATGTGTGTGTGCTAGAATGAGCGCTTGCGACTCTCAAAGGTGTTGCTTCACGTACACACACGCACACAAGAACGCGAGTACATATATATATATATATATATATATATATATATATATATATATATATATATATATATATATATATACACACACACAAGCACACACACACACACAAGCACACAAACGTGCACACACATAAGCAGCGTTTATTTCTCACCAGGTCTGAGCTGATCATCTCAATGTGGTCGTTGTATTCGTAGTACGGGTTGAGGGAGAGGCCTGTCCAGTCCCACTGGATGTTTTCACCGTCATCTAAGCGCGTTCTAATGTAGTGATTCGTGGCTGTGATAAAGGCACCTGGTGCCTCGCACACATGCACGGTGTTGAGACGGCATTTCCCTCTGCGGCCCTGCTGCCTCCTGTTGCCGCCACTCTTGCTGCTGCTGCTGCTGCTGCCATCGTTGCCCTGACCGTCTTGCTCTCTCTTCTTCCCGTCCTCATCATCATCATCATCATCATCATCATCATCATCATCATCATCATCATCACCACCACCAACACCATCATCACCACCACTACCGTTGTCATCGCGCGCTGTGTCGGCGGGCAGCAGGTTGTAGTGCGCCAGCATCTCATACATCTTGACCCACGCTGTGGTGCACATTTCTCCGCCGCACCGCTGCCGCACTTGGTGCATGACCTTCTGCGTCAGATTCGCCAGCTTGGACAGCCGGTACCACACCTGTCACCCGCGGTGTTTGCGTTGAGTGTATGTGTGAGTGTTTGTGTTTGTGAGCGTGTGTGAGTAAGTGTTTGTGTGTGTGTTTGTGTGTGTGTGTGTGTTTGCGAGTGTGAGTGTGTGTGTGTGCGTTTGCGAGTGTGTGTGCGTTTGCGAGTGTGTGTGTATGTGTGTGTGTGTGTTTGCGAGTGTGTGTGCGTTTGCGAGTGTGTGTATGTTTGTGTGTGTGTGTGTGTTTGCGAGTGTGTGTGTGTGTTTGCGAGAGTGTGTGTGTGTGTGTTTGCAAGTGTGTGTGTGTGTATGTTTGTGTGTGTGTGTTTGCGAGTGTGTGTGTGTGAGTTTGTGAGTGTGTGTGTGTGTGTGTGCAGGTTGTAGGTATCAGCAACATCAGTGTGTGCTTCAGCCATAGTGGGCAGTGCATGAAGCGGCGCAGTGTCATTTCACGACAGTGGACACGGACACGTTGAGTTCACACGTGCTCGAAATCCAAAGAACAACGCACCTCTTGATCCATATCGTCGAGCCTGCTCTTGACCTCATTGCCCCGATCTTTCAGCCGCTTCATCTCTGTCGCACATACAAGATGCATCGCAAGTGTCTGTACCGTGAGGAAATACGGCAAGATCGCACACACACGCACAACGCTGTAACAGACCGCCACAACACAGCACAACACACAACACAACACAACACCTGGGTCGATGGGCTCCTCCGGATGGGAGAACAGGTCCTCGGGGCGCGCGCGGTCAAAGCACTCGCGGGGAATCAAGACGTGCTTGTCGAAGATGGTGTCAAAGCCATGCACGGCGTAGTCCCAGGCCGCCTGCATGTCTCGGGCGTTTCCCCTCACGAAGCGATCGCTGGAGCGGGACCCTTGCTGCGGGCGCCCACCACGTGGTGAGAGCTGGTGGCGCAGATCCCGGTGGTCGCGTGGCTCTCTGCTGAAGTCACCGCGCTGATGGCGCTGCTGTTGCTGTGGGTGCTGGTAAGGGTGGTGGTGATGGGAAGGGATCAACGGCGGATGGCCCGTATGTGGCGGAGCGTACACGTGCTGATATCCAGCTGCAAAGTCTCGTTTTGGAGGTGCAGGCAGAAGCCCACCACGAGGAGGAGGGTGCGGAGGATGATGAGGGTGATGATGGTGAGTTGGAGGTGCAGTGGGGTACGGGTTGTAGCCATATGCATGGTGCTGTTGTCCGTGGTGCTGGTGGTGATAGTAGCCGCCGTGGTGACGATCCTGCCAGTGATACTGATCGTGGCGGCGGTAGCGCTGCTCATCATGTCGTCGCGACATGGTTTGTGTGAGCGAGAGAGACAGAGAGAGAGTGTGTGTGTGAGTGAGAGAGACAGAGAGAGAGAGAGTGTGTGTGTGTGTGTGTGAGAGAGAGAGACAGAGAGAGAGAGAGAGAGTGTGTGTGTGTGTGTGAGAGAGAGAGAGAGACAGAGAGAGAGAGAGAGAGAGAGAGAGAGAGAGAGAGAAAGAGAGAGAGAGGTGTTGTATCTGCGGGCTTGTCTCCGAATATTAGGTATGATTTCCGCCTATTCTCCACAACCACGCTGGCGAAACAAGCGAGAGGCAGACGCGAGCGAGGATGTCTGGCAAGCTGTGTGGTGGTGTGGTTGCCCGCTTGGCAAAGGTGCCAGTCAGTGGTGTTCGTGCTGGTGCTGGCGTTGTGCAGCAAACAAGCGCCCTTGCACAACATGGCAACTGCAAGAGGCACACATCGTCTTCTTCCTCTTCTTCTACACCCACAACTCCAGCGTCATCCAAGTATCAACAACAGACCAGCACCTGCGGCACTTTCACAGTGAGTGTTGTTTGAGGGTGTGTTGTGTGAGGGTGTGTTGTGTGTACGTGTGTGTGTGATGTGATGTGTACGTGTGTGATGTGTGTGTGTGTGATGTGTGTGATGTGTGTATGTGTGCGTGCAGATTGTGTAGTGTATGCGTGTGTTGTATGTGTGCAGTGTAGTGTAGTGTAGTGTGTTCAAGCTGCTGTTTCAGGCCACTGCTCACCCATTGACTGCGTCATTGTCGCCTGCTCCACGGCGTTGCTCTGTGTAGTTGACAAACAGGAACCCGCGCAGCGCAGAGCTTCTGCGTCAGAAACACAAGCCACGCGGCTTTGGTACTTCTGTGCAGTCCTTTGAGTTCTACCACAGGTAACACGTGCGTGCGTGTTGTGTGTATGTGTGCGTGCGTGCACATGTAGTGTGTGTGTGTGTGTGCGTCTGCGTGCGTCTGTGCATGCACATGCTAGTGCTGAAACTTTACTCCCCCCATGTCACACACATTACCCTCTAACCCTTTCTCATCCGCATCCCATACATAACCCCCCCCCACACACACACACCCGTTCTCATCCGCATCCCATACATAACCCCCCCCACACACACACACACACTCAGGCTGCGTTTCCAAAAGTCCAACAAGCACCTCACAACCACCCTGGAGACGCCAGGCAACCAAGTCTGGCTCACAGCAAGGTACGTTTGCTTCTCTTCAGGCTTATGTGTGTGTATTTGTGTGTCGTCGTGTGGTGGCTTCACTTTGTCGCAATGCACTTGCTTGTGTCACGCCCTTGCCATCCTGTGCATCGCTGTGTCGCTTGTGCGAGTTTCCATCATACGTGACACCTCCCGCACTGCTTCTCGCTTATGATGCCTCCACAACAGCACGAAGGAGTACAACATCCAGCGCCACCTCTACTCCTACAACTCTGTCACCACAGCACGCGAACTGGCCAAAATCATGGGTACGCTTGGCCTGCACTGTGCGTGCGTGTGTTTTTCTGTGTGTGTGTGTGTGTGTGTGTGTGTGTGCGTGTGTGTGCGTGTGTGTGCATGTGTGTGTGTGTGTGTGTGTGTGTGCGTCGTTGTACCTTTGGCCGTCTCCTGGTTGCCCCCATCTATTCTTGAACTCCAACAATTTGTCAATGTCCTTGCTCTTCGTTGGCGCACACTTTCCCTACGCCTCACCCAACGCTTCTTCTCTCACGCATGCGTGCGTGTGTGTGTGTGTGTGCGTGTCTGTGTCTGTGTGTGTGTGTGTGTGTGCGTGTCTGTGTCTGTGTCTGTGTGTGTGTGTGTGTGTGTGTTTCCGTGTTTGTGTGTGACGTTTACACAGCACGGCGGCTCAAGGAGAGCGGGATTGAGCGTGTGACCTGGCACACGGGCAAGGACGGCTACCGAGGAAAGGCCTCTGCATTCATTGACAGCTTGAGAGCACAGGGCATCACCACCAAGGAATAGCTTGTGTGTGTGTGCGTGTGTATCTGTGTGTGTGTGTGTGTGTGTGCATTGTGCGTCTCTATCTTTGTCTGCCTGTTTGCGTTGTCGGATCATTCGAGGCCATTATTACAAACTTTCGGCTGCCTGCAAGCAAGCAAACAAGCAGTATGATTCAGCACCTCGCTCGTGCACACTCTTCTCAACTCTTTCTTTCCTTCCATCACCGTCACAGCACATCACACAACATCACATCACGATCACACACACACCCCGCCCCCCTCACCCACTTCACCTTGATTGAGCCATGCAGCAGTGCGTTGTGGTGATTGGGGCAGCCGTATTGTGCTTGGCCAGCTGCGGTGGTGCTCATGCGAAGGCAACGCTAAAGGAAGACATGCGTGGGGATCTGCACGTGAACACATCCAATCCGACGCAGCGCGTGCTCCTGAATGGCGTGGATGTGGTGGCGCGTGTGCGAGACGCAGAGCTGCGTGCAGAGGTTGCCCAGCGCCGTCTCACACAGGGACTGTGCGCGCTCAACTCGAGCCTGCACGCGGTTGACATCACATCACTGACAACCCCCGTCATGGCGAACAAGTGGTCGGACGCCGTGCTGGCGCCCAACGGCAAAATCTACGGCGTGCCCACCAACTCAGACGTCGTGTTTATCCTGGACCCAACAACCCTGAGCTTGGACCTCACCACCATCACGGGCCTCGGGACTGGATACAAGTGGGCAAGCGGCGTCGTGGGTCCTGATAGGAAGATCTATTGCACCCCACAGCACGCCGACCACGTCCTCATCATCGACCCAGCCACCAACACCATCGACAACACCACCTTGACTGGCTTGCCTGCCAACACTGACGCGTGGGAATCTGCCGTGCTCGCCGACAACGACAAGATCTACGCTGTGCCAGATGGGGCCACGTCTGTCCTCATCATCGATGCCCTGGCCAAGACCACAGACACCACGACCCTGGGTAACCTCCCGGCCACGGACAACAAGTGGTTCGGCGCCGTGCTCGCTGGCCCTGACGACAACAGGCTCATCTACGGCATCCCGGGCACGGCCACATCCGTGCTCATCATCGACCCCCTCACCAACACCGTTGACATGACGACAATGATGGGCTTCAGCGAAACGCTCAAATGGCACGGCGGTGTGCTGGCGCCGAACGGCTACATCTATGCCATCCCCTGGTCCTCGCAAACCATGCTTCGCATCGACCCGGCCTCCTACACCTACACACTCATCGACCTTGGCCCGCTTCCATGCTGCGCAGCGAGGTGGCGCGACGGCGTCATCGCCAAGAACGGCAAGCTGTACGCGCTGCCAGCTTACAGCAAGGCTGTGCTCATCTTTGACCCTGAGACGGAAACGGCAGACACGACGACCATCACAGACCTGCCCATTGGCTCTTACAAGTACAACGGGGCTGTGATTGCGGATGATGGTACCATCTTTGGCGTCCCTTACACCTTCACTGAGTTTCTCATCATCAACCCCCTTTGCGGTTGAGCCCTCTCAGTGGTGGTGACAGTGGCGTGTGTGTGTGTGTGTGTGTGCATTGTGTGTGTATGTGTGCGTGTGTGTGTGTTTGTGTGCATTGTGTGCGTGTGTGTGTGTGTTTGTGTGCATTGTGTGTGTATGTGTGCGTGCGTGCGTGCATGCGTGTGTGTGTGTGTGTATGTGCGTGCGTGTGCATGCGTGTCCTAGTGCTAGTGCTAGTGCTAGTGTTACTGCTTGTGTGCATTGCGGCTTGTTGTGATTCGAGGCTTGTTTTGATCTGATGCTCCATTCATTATACGGCGGCGGCTATGACTCGATGCACAGCAACTCAACGACAAGGAAGGGGAAGGAAGAAGGCGAAGACGAGAAGTATGCACAACGCACAACTTCAGAAGACTTGCTGCCTCCACTGCAGCGCAACGGAGCAACCGCAAAGCAACCCACGCCGTCACAACTCACACTGTTTCGCAAGCATCACACTGAGCATCGCATGGAGCATGGTCCAATCACAGGGGGCTGAAGGTAAAGTTGGAAAAGGGCACAGTGACGACATCTTGGGTCAGCTTGAGCGTGGTGCCACGGAAGAGCCACAGGTTGATGTGCACAAGCATGTCGGAATGCTTCGAGGGGATCTTTGAGCTTGCCGTGCAGTTCCATTGCGTCAGCATTGCGCCCGTGTCAGCGTCTTGCACGAGAAATGCCACGTGGGAGGCCGCGTAGGTGAAGCGAAACACAGCATGCCGTGTCGCTGACAAGCGCCAGTACCGCGCTGTGTCTGCCGTGGGAGGCTGCACGACAAAGTCGCCGTTGGCGGCGCTTGGGTCTGGGTTGCCCCACTGTGCCACCTCAATGTCAATCTCGTGCGTGTCGTCCTTGTAAAGGAACATACCCAAAACGATAAAAGGGTCGCCCTGCCCAAGCGCATGCACGTCCTTGGCAACTTCAAAGGAGTATGTGCCATATCCAAGCGGCCTGGTCAGGGACACCTCGGCACACGTGTAGTTGTGTGCTGGCTGGCTGCTTGCTTTTGTCTCAGGCACTACTGCAGCTGATGCTGCCTGTGTTGTGGCGTTCACTTTGCGAAGGGACAGCAGCAGGCGCCCCTGCGCATCCACGCGCACGTTGTCTCTGGAGAAGATGTTGGGGCCAGGCCCTTGCGGTGTTGCGTTCTCTCGCACCGCCCACTCGTACCCAGCAAACATCACGCTGCTGCTGTTCCCACTACTGCTGCCACCAGCGTGCAGCGGGAGCCAGAGCAGTGCGACAATTAGCAGGAGAAAGCGATAAGCCGCCATCTTGCCATGCGGCTTGCAGGCAGGCTTGCTTGTTGCTCGTTGGTTGTTCGTGTTGGCCTGCAGCGAGCAAAAGTGGGCGTTGCCACAATAAATGTTGTGTGTGTTTTTGGCCACAACAAGAAGATCCAAACTGGACACAAACAGACAGCAAAACAATACACGTGTGTGCCAGTGCGACGTTGCGGGTGTGAGGGTGCTGGCTGGTGTGTGAGGTGAGAGCGGTATTTCCACTTTGCTTGTGTGCTCGCTTGCTTGCTGGCCTCCTGCTGCTATTCCTGGTTGCACCAAGAAGGGAGCGACGGAGTGAGTGTGACACTCACCGATTCTCCCATTCTCATCGCCCTCCTTTGTGTCGATCGCTGACTGACACGATCATCACACTCTTGCGCTGTTGGTGGATGTGTGGCCTGTTGTTGGGATCTGTCAGCTCAGACTTGCTTGCTGCTCTCGGCGCTGAATGGCCTTTTTGCAGAGGTGTGCAAGCTTGACGCATCAGTGCTACCTCCCGAACGAAGGCGCTGAAGAGGCCGAACGTGCCCGTCGCAGGATGGACGACGCCGCAGATGACGTGCACACAACCGGGGACAATGCCGTGCAACCCTACACTGCCAACGACAGCGACATTGTGACAGAGGATGCCTTCGAGGAGGAGGCGCTGGACCAAGTGCCGGAGATGAGCATGCCCGGTGCTGTGTCTGACAAACAGGACGAGCAACGTATGTGCATGCGCGCGTGTGTGTGTGTTTGACTGTGTGTGTGTGTTTGGCTGTGTGCTTTTGTGTGCGCGCGCGTGTGTGTGTTTGACTGTGTGTGTTTGACTGTGTGTGTGTGACTGTGTGTGTGTGTGTGACTGTGTGTGTTGGACTGTGTGTGTTGGACTGTGTGTGTGTGTGACTGTGTGTGCGTGTGTGTTTGACTGTGTGTGTGTGTGCGTGTGATGGGAACACTCGTGGCATCACACGTGGTGAACTTGTAGCTGCGCGACTGACAGCTCTGTGCTTGATTGCGTACTGGTGTTGCACAACTCTCTTCTCCCCATACAGAATCCCTGAAGAGCAGCCGTGGCAGCCGCGAGCGGTTCTTCCGTAACGTGTGTCTTTGAGCCTTTGGTGTGCGTTCAACACATGAATGGAGTACACACGTTGTCATTGTGCATCCATCTCACATTCAAGTGGTTTTGTGTGTGTGTGTGTGTGCGTGTGTGTGTGTGTGTGCGTGTGTGTGTGTGTGTGTGTGTGTGTGCTTGCTGCTGCGTAGGAGATTGAAATGAGCGACCTCAACGCAAACATGCAGGATGAGATGGCTCGCGTCCAGAAAGGGTGAGTGGCACATGTGTGCTGCTGCTGCTGCTGCTGCTGCTGCTATTGCAAGGCGCGTGTGCACGCGTACATGTGCGCACGTGCGCATGTGTGCGTAACTACCCTGCTTACGCGCGTGTGTATGCGTGTGTGTGTCACTGTCAAGCACACACGAACATCTTTCGCCGAAGTCTTCCACCTGCCCACCTCCCTCACATCTCCCCCTTGCACATTGCGCACCACGTGTCTGCAGCCAGGAGCTGGTGCAGGCCGCATCGGACCAGGACCTTGGCCACGTGACTGCCCTGCTCAGCGAACTCGCAGACGCAAACTTCCGCGACGTCTTCGGAAAGACCCCTCTCCTCTGTGCAGCGCGCAGGGGCAACCTGGTACTGTGACGCACGCACGTGTGTATGTGTGTGTGTGTGACTGTGTGTGTGTGACTGTGTGTGTGTGTGTGTGTGTGTGTGTGTGTGTGTGTGTGTGTGTGTGTGTGTGTTGTGTATGCGTGCGTGTGGGTGGGGGGGGGGTGTCGTGTGTGCGCGTGCGCGCGCGTGTGTGTGTGGGTGTCGTGTATGTGCATATGTGTACACATTTGTTGCTGCCCATGCAAATGAACTCCACGTCAACCCTCACCGCCTCCTCACCACCTCCAACTCCCCCCTCTCCCCTTCTGGTACCACGTGCAGGCCATCACGGAAGTGCTGCTGAAGGAGGGCGCAAATCCTAACATCGGCGATGTGCGCGGCGTGGATCCGCTCTACGAAGCCCTCACACGCAAACACGTCGATGTTGCAAAGGTGTGCGATTGTGTGATTGCGTGCGTGTGTGACACTGTCTGTGTGATGCTGTGTGTGTGTGACGCTGTGTGTGTGTGTGTGTGTGTGACACTGTGTGTATGACACTGTGTGTGTGTGTGTGCATGTGCGTGTGTGACACTGTGTGTGTGTGTCTTGTGGACACTTTGTGTCATGCGTCACTTATTGCCACCGGTTTACAATTTACCGGCCATCCCCTTTCACCTCTTCCACCACCGCCACCACCACTCCACAGGCGCTGCTCCGTGCCGGCGCCGATCCCGTCCACACCCTCACCGCGCTTACCAACATTCTCGAAGGTAATTCAATCGCGCTTGCTTTGTGTGGTTGTGCGTGTGTGATGCTTGTGCGGTGGTACATGCACAGACATACGAGCACAGACACATAAACACACACATAAACACACACTACACACATAAACACACACTACACACATAAACACACACTACACACATAAACACACACTACACACATAAACACACACTACACACAAAATACACACAAAACTGCACTACACAAAAATACTACATCCACGCATGCACCCTCATCGAGGCCCCCGTCTACTTCCCCCTCCTCACGGCTGCCACGTGCTACAGGCGTGAAGGACTATGCCATTGAGCTGCTGGTCCAAGACGAGATGCTCTGCTGTGCTCCGGAGGTGCTGCGCGTCTGCTTCCGCCTCAGCTACCACCTCAACATGCTCTCGCAGGTACCGCAACTGGTGGTGGTTGTAGCAAACATGACAGCGGTGGTTTTGATTTTGATCGTGATGGGTGTGATATGTTCATTGGGATGGTGTGGTTATGGGCTGCGCTGCTGATTGAGCAGCGTAAGATGTGCTTGGCATCGCACCTTGCAGTCGCACCATCTTCCTTTCAAACGCAAACACGCACCGCTCACCTTCCTTCCTTCCTTCCTCACTGCATCAACCTCCACCACGCCCACCGTGCCCCCACATCAGCGCCAAGAGGAGCGAAAGCATTTCTACAGCGGGCTGCGGGATCGCTGCCGTGACCTCGCCGTCAACCTTCTCGCAGCGTGCAACGACATGTGGGACGTACGTCACGCCGCGCGTGCGCGCGCGCGCGCGCGCGTGTGTGTGTGTGTGTGTGTGTGTGTGTGCGTGTGTGTACGCGTGTGTGGGCGTCGCATACATCATTTAACGGGTCAACACACGCACATAGAATGGGTGCTGGTTGGCTGCTGCACCGTCACCTCCACCACCACCTTATCACCGTCACCTTATGGCCGCTTCAGGTTCGACGATTGCTTGCAGAGGGCACGGGTCTCCTCGGCCTTGCCCTTAAATACGACCAGACCCTTTTCGTCTCGCACCCGTACTGCCAGGTGTGTTCGTGCTTGTGGTGTGTGCATGTGCATGTGTGTGACGTGTGTGTGTGTGTGTGCGCGTAGTGTGCGTAGTGTGATGCGTGATGTGTTTGCTTGTGCGTACATGCGCGCATACGCGCATACGCAACAACCTCCTCCACAAACACACACACACACATACTCACATTTTCTCACACGCACACACACACGCACACACATGCACACTCTCTCATACTTGCACGTTCTCGCGTTCACAGGAGTATATGAAAGAGTTGTGGCTCGGGCAGTACGTGGGCGTCTACGGAAAGGAATTCTTTGGCGTCGTCCTCAAATACATTTTCTTCCCACTTGTGTTCCCGTATTATCTCATTCTGTTTGCGCTTCAGACCCCGAAGAATCTTCAGTTCTCCCGCCTCGGCGACTACGTCCGCTTGTGCCACACACCCTTTGTCAAGTTTATGGGGCACATGACCTCGTTCATCCTTTTCCTTGTCCTCCTCATCGTTGCTTCGACAGAGGACTCACACGTACGTGTATGTGTGCGTGTGTGCTTGTGTGCGTGTGTGCGTGCATGTGCGTGTGCGTGTGTGCTTGCACGTGTGCGTACACGTTACTTGTTGAGCTACGTACAACTGCACTGCTTATGGTTCCAAAGCAGCTCGAAAAAGCTTCTTTTTTTCCCATGCGCTAATACCAAACTCGCAAACACACACACACACACATACACACACACATACACACACACACACGTGCACAGGTTGTACCGAACGGCGTTGAGCTTGCGCTGGGTGCGTGGGTGATAGCGCTCATCATCCAGGAGGCTCGCGAGATATACCAGACGCCGAGCCGCATCTATCTTGCGTCCGTGTGGAACTGGCTCGACATCACCAACCAGCTGCTATATCTTGCTGTCATTGTCATGCGCGTGGTGTTGTATGCGGACCGGAATTCCCGCGATGACAGTGATGATCTTCTCTTTGCCTCCAACGTCACGCTCGCGCTCGCTGCCCTCCTCTCCTGCATCCGCTTTCTCAACGTCCTCGAAGTCCACCACCTCCTCGGACCGCTCCAGGTGCGCGTGTATGCATGTGTGTATGTGTGTGCTTGTGTGTATGTTTGTGTTTATGTGTATGTGTGCGCGCGCGCGTGTGTGTGAGCGCGTGTTTGTGTGTGTGTGTGTGTGTGTGTGTGTGTGTGTGTGTGTGTGTGTGTGTGTGTGTGTGTGTGCATGTTTGCGTGTGTGTGAGTGTGTGCGTGTGTGTTTGGGTCTGAGGATTTTGGTTAAATGCACAGCATATTCGCAACCCCTCTCTCACCCCACTCTCTTTTTCCGCTGCTCGCACCGTATAACAGATTAGCATTCGTCAGATCATCAGCGACCTCGTTGTGTTTCTCGCCATTCTTCTCGTCTTCATGCTCGCGTTTGCTGTCGCCCTCACAAAGGTGCCGTGCTGCGCGGGGGGGGGGGGGCGTGTGTGTGTGCATGCGCGTATATGAACGGGCATGTGTGCATGTGTGCGCAGGTTTGTGGACATGTGTGTGTGCGCACATGTGCGTGTGTGTGTGTGTGTAATAGTCACCATCCCTCCGCAAGTTTGCCTCGCCATCACAACCCCTCTCATCCACAAACCACATTGCCATCGCCACCATACAACCACAACCACAACTGCCAACCGCGCAGGTGTTTGAGCACCTCGAAGACATTCCTGCCAACGAAATGCCTCTTGCCGCATTTGGAAGCTTCGAGGCGTCTCTGCGTACCACGTTTTGGGGCATCTTTGCCCTAATTGAACTGGGAACCTTCACCACCATTGAAGGCGTGCGCGGAACAGAAGTCCGTGTCATTGGCGAAGTCCTCTTTGGCGCATACATGGTCAGTGAGCACGTGGTGTTCATACGTATGCTCGCGTTGGGTGTGTATGTGTGCATGTGTATGTGTGCATGTGTATGTGTGTGTATGTGGGGTTCATGTGTGTGTCTGTATGTATGAGCGCGTGTTTTAGAATGTGACTCGCTCTTCAACAACTGTTAACCCGTACTGCCATGCTTTCAAGCCTCACAATGAATCAACCCTCTTACCGCTGGTGATGACGCACATCTGGCTGCAGGTGGTTGTGTTTATTCTCCTGATCAACCTCCTCATCGCCATCATCACCAACACATATCAACGCATTGTCGACAACAGCGACGTTGTCTGGTGCGTTCATGATATATGTGCTGGTTGTGTGTGTGCATGTGTGCATGTGCGTGTGTGTGCATGTGCGTGTGTATGGCTCTTCCTCGAGCTCTCTTCCATTCATGGCGAGCTCACCCTCAACAACAACAACAACAACAACTTAAACAACAACAACTACAACAACTTAAACAACAACAACTACAACAACTTAAACAACAACAACTACAACAACTTAAACAACAACAACAACAACTTAAACAACAACAACAACTTAAACAACAACAACAACAACTTAAACAACTTAAACAACAACAACAACTTAAACAACTTAAACAACAACAACAACAACTTAAACAAC